TTTAGTTTTCTAGGCGGTGTTATTTGAACTCCTAGCCATTATGGCAAACCAGTAGGGATCTGGTATTTGATGTCAAAACATCTGAAGACCCCAAGCTCATAAACCACTGTATGAGTAGAATTAGGAGTGAAATTGACATGATGTGGACTGGAAGTATATTCATCTGTCCTTAGGTCTACCTGGATTTCTAAATGTTTGAGAGTCTTTCAGAGGAGAACCTGATCAATGTTAAGGTCCTGTTGGAAAAGGTTTGGAAATGCCTGCTATTTTTTCCAGTGCCCAACCTTGCTGCAAAATTATGTTGTTGTTCATTCGTTCAGTCGTCTCCGACTCTTCGTGACCTCATGGACCAGTCCACGCCAGAGCTCCCTGTCGGCCGTCACCACCCCCAGCTCCTTCAAGGTCAGTCCAGTCACTTCAAGGATGCCATCCATCCATCTTGCCCTTGGTCGGCCCCTCTTCCTTTTGCCTTCCACTTTCCCCAGCATAATTGTCTTCTCTAGGCTTTGCTGTCTCCTCATGATGTGGCCAAAGTACTTCAACTTTGTCTCTAGTATCCTTCCCTCCAGTGAGCAGCTGGGCTTTATTTCCTGGAGGATGGACTGGTTGGATCTTCTCGCAGTCCAAGGCACTCTCAGAACTTTCCTCCAACACCACAGCTCAAAAGCATCGATCTTCCTTCGCTCAGCCTTCCCTAAGGTCCAGCTCTCACATCCGTAGGTTACTACAGGGAATACCATGGCTTTGACTAGGCGGATCTTTGTTGCCAGTGTGATGTCTCTACTCTTTACTATTTTATCGAGACTGGACATTGCTCTCCTCCCAAGAAGTAAGCGTCTTCTGATTTCCTGGCCACAGTCTGCATCTGCAGTAATCTTTGCGCCTAGAAATACAAAGTCTGTCACGGCCTCCACATCTTCTCCCTCTATTTTCCAATCATTCTTGTTGCCATAATCTTGGTTTTTTTATGTTTAGCTGCAACCCAGCTTTTGCACTTTCTTCTTTCACCTTGATTAGAAAATTAAACTAGAATCATAGAATCATAGAGTTGTAAGAGACCTTGTGAGCCATCCAGTCCAACTCCCTGCCAAGAAGCAGGAAAATCGCATTCAAAGCACCCCTGACATATGACCATCCAGTCTCTGTTTAAAAGCATCTGTTTAAAAATCTACATCTATAGTGTGAATATGAACCTATTTTAATTTTCGGATTCTTCAAGTGAATAACGTTTTGTTAAGGAACTAGGTATTTTTTGTGTGTGAGATCATCAACCAGACTGATATTAAAATAAAAGACTTGCTCTGCTTATGCTGTAGTACAACTATTGGCCTGTACTCCTGTAGTTCTTTTATCAACAGTTTTCACAAATCTTCAAAAAAAACCCCAATAATTTATGTATTAATGTCTTCCAACTATATATTTTTTCCTGCCCCCGAATTTCCCTCCCATGAAAATTGGTCCTATGAGACTCATTCTTGGACTGTTTATAATGCAGTTATATAATACCTAAAAATATTGCCATTGTTTCTCAGTTCTGCTTACAGAATGAATTACGCCTCCCTTGTGGTATTGTTAACAAACAAAAGCTTCAAATAGCCTGTATTAGCATACCTCAGGAGGAGTCCAGAGCAGATTTTAAATCCTGAGGATATCACAGTGTTCTTACCAAGGAGGTTAGCATGTCCTTGTACTGTGTTCCGCTGATTGGTACCTATTTCTGCATCGCCTCTTGAAACGTGAAGGATGATCAAGAGATGTCGGAGGAATCTTCAATTTGTCTGTTTTATTTATTGCAACTTTAGCATATTCTATCATAAAAAACAACAAAAGAATTCGTTTAGAAAAATCACTGTACTTTTTTGTTTTTTGTTTTTTGAGTCTAGAGGCATCAGTACTTATTAGTTCCTTTGTGAATCTGGGGAGCTAATTTTCACATACAGGTTTACAGTAGGAAAGACAATTTCCTGGCCAGCCCTTTTTGAAAACCTTTAGGCAAGTCTATATCTACAATGTAGATATAGGAATGAGAGTTAGAGCATGAAAAGGTTTTGCACTCCAGTTGAAGGGGTTATCCCACTAGATGGAGTTCTATACAGTTTTCAGCAGGAAATGGTGATCCATTTTGAAATGGCAGCTTGTCATCAGTTACACCTCTTCACATGGGGCTAAATCCGGCAGCATGCTCTGATTTAGCCTCGGTCACCAAGCCGGCTGGCTCCCATCACATGATGCAGGCACAGCTCCATGGGTGTAGAAGGGTGGAAGTGGCACATGCCACTGCCAGGGCAACACGGGAGGGCTCCTATGTTGCCATTGCAATCCATGGCAGGAAGCCGCTCACACCACATGTGCATCTGATCACCCTCATCTGGAGCCGGATGATGTGGGGCATGGGGTACTGGGTTCCCCGCACCCCTCTACTCAGTGGAGCAATGCCGATGGCCATCTGACAAGGTCGCAAATAAGGTCTCTTTATAAGCTCTTCCATAACAAGTTTTTCATGTATTCAAGAAAAACATTTTCAGCAAAGTGACAACTACAGAAAATGGCAACAAAGACAATAATCTAAAAGTGCATAGGTAAAGGTAAAGGTTTTCCCCTGACATTAAGTCTAGCCATGTCCGACTCTGAGGTGTGGTGCTCATCTCCATTTCTAAGCCAAAGAGCCAGCATTGTCCGTAGACACCTCCAAGGTCATGTGGACAGCATGACTGCATGGAGCACTGTTCCACGCCACTCCCCAGATTCGAACCTGTGACCTTTTGGTCAACAAGCTCAGCAGCTCAGTGCTTTAATGCACTGCACCACCGATAGCTCCCTAAAAGTGCATAGTTCAGAGTAATTCTTGTTGAACTCAGAGGGATTACACTGTGGGTTAAAACCAAGCGTGAAACAGCATGATGCAGTGGTTTGATTCTTGTACTCAGGACTCCAAGAGACCAAAATTTGAATCCCAGCTTAGGCATGGAAATTCACTGGGCATCTCTCAAACTCAGAGGAAGGCAATGTCACACACCATTCTGAACAAATCATATTGAGATAACTCTATGTAGGTTTGCCTTAGAATCACCTTAAGTTGAAAACAACTAGAAGGCACACATTTTTTTAAAAAAAATAATTAGGATTGCACTGATGGCAATTCAGTGTCATTAGAATATAATTTTTGTATGTCTTTATCTGCATGTGTGTTTACTTCTATTTCTTATTTTCTTGCAAGCTGCCCTGAGTCCTTTTTGTGGGGGGAAAGGCAGGGCATAAATAAATACAATGTGGTGTAACACTAGCTTGGTAGCTGCAGACAGGAAATCCTTCTTTGCCATCCTATAATATGACAAGTTTGATTAAGTGAAAAGGTTTTTATTAGCAGGTGCATTCAGGACTTGAGGTGGCAATGACATAGAGAATGGCTTAATTTAGAATAAGCTTGAAAGGAAACAAATACATACTGTGATGAAAATTATTCTACTGACTACCAAGTCAGAATTTCAATATGAAGTTAATTGAGTTTGGCGGAATTGGGTGTTCTTTTGGCTTTAGCTGTTATAACTTAACCCTTGCCCTGCAAGCTGTTCATAAGTGGTACCGTTCAAGCTTGCCTTGTTCAAATATGAAATCCTAGCACTTATATAGTCTGACCCTATTTGGAATGAAGTCCAGCCTTCTTCAATCAGGAGTCATATTTTGTGCTGATTCAGCCATCCCTATCTTCCTTCTTCACCCCCATCTGTGTCTTGTAGTTTTCAAATGAAACATATTTTCAGCTAACAAAACAAGACTTATATATGTGGGCATTCATAAATACGTCTGTTTTGTTTTAATTCACCCATTTTTTAAAAAAAGAAATGTCAAGTTATTTTCATTGGATTTATACAGAAATCTGTTCATTTTCATATGTTAATATATCATAGAGTTCGAAGAGATCACAAAGGACATCCAATCCAACCTCCTTCTGCAATGAATGAACACAGAATCAAAGCACACTCAGCAGATTGTTATCTAGTCTCTGTTTAAAAAGCTCCAAGCCAGCATATTCCACTACTAAACAGCTCTTGTCATCATTAGTTCATCCTAATCTTTATATGGCATCTTTTTTCCTTCAGTTGAATCAATTGCTCCATGTCCTAGTCTCTAGAGCAGCAGAAAACAAACTTGTTCCTCCTCAATATGACATCCTTTCATATGTTTCAAGATGACTCTAATCTCCCCTCTCAGCTTTCTTTCCTCCAAGCTAAACGCATCCTGCTCCCTCAGTCTTTCCTCTTAGGGTTTGGTTTCCAAACCTTTGGTCATTTTGGTTGCCCTTCTCTGAACACATTCTAGCGTGTCCTTCTTATGTTGTATGCACATATGTGTATGTAGAGTATGTGCATTTAATCTATCAATGTTGGCTGATTTCAGTATTTTATGACTTTTTAGAGCATTGAAAGGACAATGCTGGCAATGTTTGTTGCAGAGTTGTCAAAGATGAGAGTTAGAGTTATCAGGAGAAAAAAAGTGGCAACCCTAATTTAGCACCACCAAGGTGGTTTAATATATAAGGATTCAAAGTCAGAATTTTACTTACTAATTACTCAAATATTTCTTGCCAGATCGCTGAATATGTCTATCTTGTTTTCTCTCACATTTGCTTTTATTTTTTTAACCTCAACCCCCCCCCCCCAAAGAATTTATGAAGAAATGTGTGACTGTGAGAAAGTTCTTATAGAAATATGACTCCCACCAAATTCTCCTCTACAGTTCCCAGAATTCCTTAACATTGGATGTTCTGTCTCCCTTTCTTAAACTTTTCTCAATATTCAGTATGAGAAGCCTAAATGATTTGGGTGTGTCAGAAGGAAGTAGTTTTTTGAGTTGTTTTCCAGAATGGAATGCCAAATTTGTAATAGAAAACAATCTTTTCCCCTGAATTCTCTCCCTCCACCCCCAAGGTTTTACTAAGAAAGAAAGAAAGTTATCAGAAATAATCTCTCTCATGCACACTTTGTCTTTTCACTCTGCAGAAACTACCCGTCTATTGAACGACTCATTGATTCTTCTGAGGTGAATCCGCTTAGAGCCGAATGGCTATAGGAAATCAGCTCGTATATTCTGGCTGAAGGCAATTCGGAATGAGACTGCTTCCTTCAGGATTTAAAACAGGTGTGTTGAAAAATGTTGTGAACATAAATCATCATTGATTTTTCATTAATGTTTGACAAGTAGAGTTAGAGGCAGAAATACAATGACTGTTTCCCCTTGATACAAAAGATTATACAAAATAAATGTCACTGCGAAAATCTCTTTACCAATCCATAGCCCAGTCTTATACAAGTTTATTACAAAGTAAGTCCCATCGGGTAGACTGGGGCTTACATATATATAAAGAAGCATGTACAGGATTTTAACACTAGCCTTTAATAAGTTCACAGCAGAAGCAATAGTTTTGAACGCTGGCTTCTAGAAAAAGCAGTCAAAAGTAGATGTCATAAATTAATTCAATTCTAACTGTGAAATCTTGCGGATTTAGTTTGTTATTGAGTTCATTTGGTCTCACTCTCAGGAAAACAAGCATGAAGTTTTAGTTTAAATCTTTCTTTAATTAACTGTACAAACATCCCATTAGTTTTTTGAAGCTGCACATATTTTTCCATCTCTATAAGGCTGGGGAAATTCTATAGCCAGCCATGTATCTTGTCCTGAGAAGGTCTAAGGTTCAGTCTCTGGTAACAGGGCTGATAAAAACTACTGTTTACTAAACCACTGCTTCTTAAACTATGGATCTTGCTCCAAAATGGGGTCCCTTTAGCTCAATGTTGGGGTCCTAAAAAATTTGGCAGCACTAAAAGTTTCTGGACATCATCTAGTGACTTGTTTTAGACATTTGCACAAATGTGTGTGCTGCATTCATAGTGGACTCTGCAGAAGATGCTTCAGCTGAACTTCATAGAAAGGAAAATCAGCCTGTTTAGCAAGCCTTGCAAATGTTGATTTGTTATCAATAAAGGTTTGATTTTTATACCTATTTTATATACCTACATGTCCAAGGTCACATTAACATTTCTTAGGCCAAAAGGGGTCCCAAGAAGAAGAGTTTAAGAAGCCCTATACTGAGCTATTACTTATCTGGAGAGTTTAAAAAAAAACAACAACACAAAATGGGGACTAGGATCTGATAACATCTGAAGCCAAAGCCCATTAAGCTATTCCTAGTATTGTAATTCTGGAAAGTGTAAATTGTGATTTTTATTCATTTGTTTTTTAAAATCTGATTCAAAAGCAAGAAAGAAGCCTTTTTATTTACAGAGCAAGAAATTTAGGGAACCTGCTAGTTTGGCCAGTTTCCATTTCTCTTCCTCTCCCCTTTTTTATCTGTTTCCTCTCTCACATACACATTTTATTTATCGTGTCAGGAGTGAACCAAAACAGTTGTATTGCATTTAAAAAACAGACAAACAAACACAGAGAAATACACATACACAGAGAAATACACAGAGACACATGTAAACAAGAACTCTGATTCCCCAGCAAGGAAATTTGAGCTATCTGTACTGCATTATACAATAGATGATAATTGTACTGGAATTTATACAATTCTGAATGATCAACACTCAATATTGTCTGGTGTATTTCAGTTATTCCCTATTGCACCCATTCTCCTAATTAATTGTGAGCTAGCCATTCTGATAATACATTTATCATTTGACAATAGTGTGAAAAGTGAGCAGAGTATGTAGAGAGATATAGTCCTTCACTTAAATAAGGTCTTTATATTTTTCAGAATAAAAAATGACATCTTATTAAACTTTCTCCAAACTACAACATTTAATGTAGATAGCTAGGCAGTCTACCCAGTGATGTTGAATTAGTAGCTTGTTTTATATTTTCCCCATTACATCTCTACTAGAGCTTCAGAGGAAGCCACAAACTGTTTAAAGAGTCTGTGAATTAAAAAGTGAGCATTTGTGAAATATGAGTACTATACTCACAGACATACACAAAGAAAGATAGAGGGAGTTTGTCCTTTCATTTTAAATGCAACCTTCTCTTACATATGCCCATATCTGGTAAAAACGGTAAAATGACAATTCATCACTTTACATGTCCATGATCTAATAATCATATTATTATTTGCAGAGGTCAAATACATTATTTTTCAATGCTCCCTTACAAAAAAAATCTTCTGTAGTTACAATCCTATCAGTACCTCAGGATGACATACAGATGGTTTATGAATCCTACTGCTAAATATCATTCCGTTCTTAAAAAAAAAAAGAATACAGCATTAAAGAGGTAATAAATGTAGCAGGAAAAATCATGTGCTTGTCTTCTTTCTGCCCAGATGCAAATTCTACCTATTACAAGATTCTGTAATTCATCCCATTTGTCCATTTATTTTGTTTATAGTTAAGACAGGTGGAGAAGGGTTTCAAGGGAGCTTGAAGGCTGGAAGACTATGGTCCATAGTAACTAGAAGTTCTTCTCAAAAATGTTCAATGCAGATTTCTTCTGTCCTTTGTATATTAATGTTAAATCCAATCATATTGAAGGCCAAACAAGAAAGTCACATATTTCTGACACATTTCTTGTTGCATACACATTTGCAGACTTTAATGCACATCTTACTGATTTTTTTCAAAACAATTATGTTTAGCTTTCCAGAATGTTTGCTACATGGAGAGATCTTTGGTATGCAAATATAAGTGGCGGGAGTCCTCAGAGCATATTTATATTTATCCCCCATCATGAATGTGTCCAATATCATTCAATTTTATTAGAAGGTAAGGAATTTATTTTGTTTTAGCTGCAACAAAGATGAAAAGATAGAATGTTCTCTTTAAGGTTATAATTTTGAAGAGTAAATAGATCCAACAGTGTAAGTCTCTCCTGAAAAAATGATTAAGAATCACAAAATGTGGACAATTTAAGGATAGATTACTTTACAGGGAGAGACATGCTGTTTATTTTAATGCAAATGTATCAATAAAAGCTGGTTCTCCCACTGTTTTCTAGTTTCACTGTTATGAGTTGGAAAGTACCACTGAGCCAAAGTTAACAGGAATTAAGCTTGTTTTAATGATATGCGAGTGTGGAGAAGAGCAAACTACAGAGCACCTATTACAATGCAGTCTCAGACCTTCCACATGCACAATGGAGGGCCTTCTTAAAGCAACACTAGAGGCCCTCCCAGTGGCCAGCTTCTGGTCAAAAGACATTTAGTATAATGCCAAGTTTTTTTTAATTTTGTGGTTTTAAATACATTACAACTGTACTCTCGTTTCACTTCTGATATGATAACTATATACATGATAGACATGTATTACTATCAAGTATTATGAATGAAGTAATGTGTCTGTTTATTTTATCCATATTCAGTTTTAAGCATTGTGTTTCACATTTGATTCTTTTAAAAAATAGAACTATAATTCTTTATATTTAGGATAGAACAAAATATGAGAATATTGTTTCTTCAAAAAGTAATTTGAATGGAATTCTTTCCCTTTCCCACCAATTACATTCAATAGGGGAGCCAATTCCCAACATTGAGAGACCATGAACAGAAATTCTTCTTTCTCCACATGGTATATACAAACAAAGCATGCCAGTGAAAAAAGCAGAATCGCCCCTTCTGGCTCTAGATTTATGTCTTCTTAATAATATGTACCTTAAGAACCATAGGAAATATGCAAAAGAATGGACTAGAGATGTGAAGAGTATTTGGGAAACGGACTGTCTCAATACATCAGGACTCTCTGACAAATATTGTCCAGCCTCCTCAAGAGTGCTCGACTTCACTACAAGAATGAGATAAAAACTTTGCTTTTTAGCCAGGTTTTTATAATTTGAAAAGGGGGGTGGGGAGAGAAAAGAAGTCTTGGACAAAATAATTTTCCTTTTGAGAAGCAAAGAGAGAGAGCAGGTGCGGAAGAAATGACTGACTGATGAAAAAAGGCTTGATAAAAAGAGGGGTGAAAAAAAATCATAGGTTTGTGCAATGAATGACCTCAGTTATTGTTGTTTTGCACACAAATTATTCTAGAAAACATAAAATCCTAGGTGAAAGGGGCAAGAAATGGCTTTCTTGTTGCATTGCCAAGGAAAAAAAAGCCTGTGTTTGTTTTATTGTTGTGTCTAAGAGTGAAAGACTGTGGATTTGCAATCCTAGATTAGATTGTCTCTGTTCTGCTTTGCCAATATGTTCCACATTGCAGTGTTTTAGGGTACAATGAAAGGATCAGTGGGAAGAGTATTCAAACTTATTGGTGCTGAACCAGTGGCAAGCTGCGAGTCAGCTAAAGAACAGAAAAGTTACCCTTTGAACTGTGGGATTCTGAGAATTGTTATGAAAAATAACTTTTCCACACTCTTGGATCAGCTCTTGGCAATCGCCTCTAATGAAATGCATTTTCACACTAATGCTGGGAGCCCCGAGCTCATTTTATTTCCCGTGACAAGATCCAACAGGATCAGAATTATCTGCCTCCATTATGTCATAAATCACCATGGATCATTGCAGTTTCTAATCTGGTTTTTATTCTATTCCCATTAAATGAATTTGTTGTAGTAGTGCATCCTCATGCCCCCCGTCCCCCCATCTCTAATACAATGACCCATTCCTGCTTTAGGATACACTGAAAAGGCACTTCAAGTGGCTTTGAAAATAATTATATAACTTCGTTCCCTAGTATATAATATTGGAAAAAGCTGGCCCGTATGCAACAGAATATACTTTGTCACAATCTGGTAAATGTTTCCACTTAATCCAATGTATTCAAGTACTTGCTTACGTCTACAGGCTGATATATAATGAGAAAACACTTGACAAACACTTTCATGGATGGAACCACTGGGTTGTTGTAGGATTTTCGGGCTATATGGCCATGTTCTAGAAGCATTCTCACATGATGTTTCACCTGCATCTATGGCAAGCATCCTCACAACCTCTGAGGATGCTTGCCATAGATGCAGGTGAAATGTCAGGTGAGAATGCATCTAGAACATGGCCATATAGCCCGAAAAACCTACAACAACCCACTTGACAAACATTAAGACAAGAATTAGATCCTGCAAACTTTATTTAAATTAATGAGTTGCTTGAAGAAGCCATCTTTAAGTTTTTTTCTTAAAAGTATGCCTTTGAGATATGAGCCATTCTTTCAGTATAATTGCTTAATCTACTTTTACCTACCCTGCAGCTTTGGCTGTTCACAATGACTTGGGAAATGTGCCTAAATGTTTGAAGTTTAATTTTAAAATGAGAGCCTTGTTAAACTGTGTTGCAATGCAGATGCATAATCTTTGCTGACCTCAGTTTTGTTTTGCTTTGTTATTGCCTGAAATTCTTAGTTTCCCTTCCTCCTATAACTCTGTGCCGGAAATGCCAAGTCACAGTGCTACTTTTTCAGCAATGCTATTGTCAGAATTCATGCAGCAGCACTGAACAAATTTCCTAATGGAATGTCTTGTAGAAATATATGTATGAAACACATTATTCTGACAGAGTAATTCTGATATTTCACTTTTTGCTAAAAAGCAGTCTCAGGCTTCTGCCATGATCATGATGATGGTGATGATGATGATTTCCTATTCTCTCTCCCTATAGATCTTGATTGAACACTAAAAGGAACTAAAATACTTTCTGCTGTGTTTTTGCCCAAGATTGGCTGGAAATTGAAAAGCTATTTTTAAAGTAACTTGGTATAGTTCCTAAGCTCCAGAATGTTGGTCACAGACATTCTGGGGCCTACACTGTTTGTTTGCTTGTTGTTCAAAATGAAATAAATTATCTACTTTCAGCTACTTTAAAGTCATCAAAATGCCACAAGGTGCTGGCCTGTGGTACAAACACAGTAAAACACTCATGCCACACAGTACCAGCATCTATAAATAACACTAAAAAGTTATAACACACCAACAAAGTCATCACTTAAAAGTTATACTCATGTTGGCATCCATCTAATATTAATCCTAGCTACAATAGAACAATTGAATGGATTGAGGTCAATGTGGTGTAGTGATTTGAGTATTGGGCTACCACCCTGGAGACCAAATTCTGCATCCTCACTCTGCAAAGGCAACCTACTGAGTGACCTTTGGCAAATCATGCACTCTGCTTCAGAAGAAGTCAAAATGAAGCCCCTCTGAAGTTGGAAGTGTCTTGGAAGTGGAAGTGTCTTGAAGGCATACAACAACAAAATTTAGTTCTGCCTTAGTTATTGCAAAAAGAAACTAATCACAACTAACTAGTACTTCAAAGCTCTGTTTGTGGAAAAGCACTTTGTATAGTGCAGTGGTTCTCAACCTTCCTAATGCCGTGACCCCTTAATACAGTTCCTCGTGTTATGCTGACCCCCAACCATTAAATTGTTTTCGATGCTACTTCATAACTGTAATTTTGCTACTGTTATGAATTGTAATGTAAATATCTGAAATGAAGGATATATTTACATTCACTGGACAAAATTTGGCACAAATACCTGATACACCCAAATTTGAATACTGGTGGGGTTGTGGGGGATTCATCTTGTCATTTGGGAGTTGTAGTTACTGTCATTTATAATTCACCTACAATCAAAGAGCATTCTGAACTCCACCAAGGATGGAATTGAACCAAATTTGGCACTCAGAAGTCCTATGAACCAACAGAAAATACTGGAAGGGTTTGGTAGGCATTGACCTTGAATTTTGGAACTGTAGTTCACCTACATTCAGAGAGCACTGTGGATTCAAACAATGACGGATCTGGACCAAACTTGACACGGATACTCAATATTGAACCAAACTTCCCACACAGAACCCCCATGACCGATAGAAAATACTGTGTTTTCTGATTATCTTTGGCGAAACCTCTGACACCCTCTCTCGACCCCCCCCCCCCAAGGGTTGAGAAATGCTGGTGTAGTGGATGGATCCCTTAATTATTTAAATAAGAATATAATCTAGTTTCTCCCTTCCCCTCGATTCTCAATCATATAAATTACCATGCGAATTGGCATTATTAACACACTGTCTCAAAGTGTACGTGGGCTATATTGATTCTGAACTCTCACTCTCTCCCCATGGCTTAACAATCTTCTTTCTGAGCATTACCCTGATGCTGATCATCATTCTCATGTTTGAGTTTAAGCAGAAAAATGCTTTGACTGACAGATGCTGAGCAACTCAGTTCCTTTGGGTGCTTAAGAAAGGACCAAATTCTCTCTTTATTGAAGCTTTGTCTTTAATTACATGGATCTGCTACCTTAAAATCTAGTTTGACTTCAATTTCAATTGGTTTTAGGTGTGATCATCAAACACAGGCTCTATTTGCTGTATGGCAACCTCTGCAGGCTTAGCTGGTGGGCCAGTTTCCACCATGATATAGCTACTTTGCCACACTGATTGGAATATTGATTGCACTGTAAATGTCAATAACTCTGCAGAGAGAACAAAGCCAAGGCTAACCCCCAGCCTTACAAACAAGATGTGACTCTCATTCCAGCCATTCCAGACTGATGTGCATTTATTGTGATGTACAGCACAACTCTCTTGGCTTGATTGAACTTCTCTCCCTTTTTATTATTAAGTAGAACTACCAGCAATGTGCACAGAGGACTTTGCATTTCTTCCACTTCTCTCTAGTTTACTTTTGGTCACTCTTCTCCTGCTGTGAAATTTGCTCAACCTTTTAAGGGAGAGAACCCAATGTATTAAGCAAAACCTTGTATTTTGTGTAAATGTCCAGTGCACAGAGGTTTTTTCACACTTCCCCCCTTTCCTGAAATGCTTACAAAATGTGAAA